TCGTTGCGTGGCATATGTTTGTTCACACTCGGGCGTAGACCCTCAAATTGATCGCCTAAGTGCGAAACCACGTATCTCCCTCTGCGACGTTACAGAACTTTCGTCATACTTTAATTTTTCTGGCGAAAACTAGTGAAAACGTTTTTCTCTGTTAGCGAAACGCTCAGTATATGAATTTCAGACTAATAAGATGGCTTACTTCTCCGCGGAAAAATAAAATGGGAGCGGAAATTTTAAAAGTTCCGCAATGAAGATACGTGGTTTCGCCCTTTGATCATCGAAAGTGTAAAATCAGAAGGGTGTATACAATGATTGCTTCAGATCAAACATGGATCTGTTCCGTACTGAGATAAACTATGGTGAAACATTTTATAGGAGTGGCGTCTCATATGAACTCTCAAGCAAAATAGATAGACCACCAGTGACCAGGTGGTCACACCATAGACCACCAGTATTGGTATTTTTACTACAAAACTGGTAACTTTATCACTTCATTAGTAAAGTTATCAATGGTAAAAGGTTGGGTAAAATGCTATTTTTGTGTATGTACCAGTTCAGTCCCAATTCACGAGGATACCACTATTCGACCACGTGGGAGCTCGCGTTGCCTACGCTGTAAATTGAAGGCGAACTGTCAATGCGTTTAAGTTATGGTCTCCGCGTTCGGATAAAATATATTTTTTGGTGTATGATCCAAATAAGCGTGACATTAACGGACATACTACTGTTCGGTAACGGTAGAGCTCGTGGTGCCTACACTAAAAATTGAAGGCAAACTGACATGGCGTTAAAGTAACTTCTTAGCGTTTGGTAAAAGGTTATTTTTTGTGTAAATTCCGAGTAATTTTGTCTTTTCACTAAAAAAGAGAAACAGGAAGAAAAAGAAATAAGCCATTTTCCTTCAAAAAATGGACTTTTCCGACTTTAAAACATTTCGAGAAAAATTTGAAATTATTTCCCCATTTTCACCCGTCCTCACGGAGGTTCCCTCTTTCCACACGATCAGGCTGGCCACCTGGTTGCGTAGATGAGAACTTTCTGCACTCCTGAAAGAAAGCCAAAGCTATCGAACAGTCGGCCAACAAACTAGCGGATTCAAGGGATAAACTCGGGAATGAAGAAAGAGAAATACAGCTCCGAGTAAACGGTCCAAGCGTGAGTTTCCCGGCCAAAATTGGCGAGGGTCGGGAAAAGTTCCAAAGCCGCTTCGTCAGACAAAATATATGACAACGGGAAAGCACGGGAGATGTAAACCATTTAATAAATTAATAAATAAAAGTCGAGGAATCGGAGAGAACGAGAATGGGGTGGTGCTCAGGAAACGAGTCACTCATAACTCCTCAAAGCGTTTCTTTTTCATTCGAAAGATGTGGAAAGTTGGAAATAATTACTAATATGGTGGGGCGGGGGCTCGAGAATAACGGGAGGGGAAAGAAAACCCAGGCAAGACACCCGCGCCACCCCGGCTACATTTGTTACTGATAGTTTTATGGGCGTCGACCCCGACAACGCTTTCTTGTTTTCAAAGCGATAAAAAAGTGAGTCGAGAGGTTAGGCACGGGGCTCGGCTATGAAGATAAAATTAAAATTAGTTCTTTCCTGATATTCCCTACCCCGTCCTCCTTATTCCTCCTTTGTTCACCTCGATCGATATTCTTTTCGGCCGAGTCGGCGAGGGAGTCCTGGCAAAACAAATTTCCACTTGGATCGAACAATTAAAACAATATTTTCTCGCGACAGAAATGTCATCGAGACTTTCTTTCTAGTTTCGTCACAGTTTCGATTGCCTTTAAAAGAATCTTCTTTGCAACAAGGAGTATACTTAAAGAGGAGTGCCGAAAGGAGGAATATTTCGCTTCAACAATTGCATACCGTTACAAAGTAAGGCGAGTAACAGTTAAAGCTGGCTGGGCTAAACTGCCAAAGTCGTGATTTCAGTGATTTTGCTATGATTGACCTGCACCAAGCCGGAAAAGGCTAATGCATTAAAATGACTCGATAGCTAAGGTAAAATACCGCTTATCTGCAAAACAGAGAAGAAGTGTTGCCATTTTTGTAATTTTGAGGTTACATTTGCAATTTTTTCCATTACAGCGCCATTATATCACTCTCGAAGCAGTATTGGAAAAAAACTAAAAATACCAGCTTAAGTATTTTACACTGTAGAATGCAGCAAAGCCGCTAACTCATTTTCGCCAAAGTTGCCAGTTAGGCGGTATTGTTAATTATCCCTCGAAATAGAATCTGCGGGCTGATTGTTGAAATTGATAGACAAAGAAAACAAAGGGAGTACGGAGCGATCCTATTGATTGAAATGGGTGGTTCCGGTTCCTATAGACTAAAGGAGGAATTGATGGACTAACTATAGGGTCACTTGAGGGTTGCCGTTAGTTAGCCTATTACCTACCTCCTTTTTCCATTGCAACCACCCGTTTCCACCATTACGATCCCTTCATATACCTTTTACCTTCTTTATCTATAGCTTTGTCGATAAATTCCAATTATCGGCCCACTGTAGAGTAAACGAGTATGGCTCAACGATTCGAGACTAATTATCAGAGCGAATAACAGAGAGGGCGGGTGTGGCCACTCAAGAACGGCCGAGCTTGATGCGGCGCGTCAGGCTGAGGCTCGATGCTCGGGCGCGAGCAGGAAAGGCCTCGGCGAGAAGACAGGGACAGGGGAGGCGTATAATTAAAAAGACGAAAAGTTTCCGAAGGGACCGGGATAGCGAGTGGAAACGGGGACAAACGGAAAACGGGATGGCGGGACGTGAAGGCGGAGGCGATGCTGGAGGAGTTGGAAAATAACTGCGAGATTTGCATTCGCCTTTAATTCGACGCCGCGCCGATCCGGGACCTCGAGTCTTCAAGCCGTAAAAACAGACATGTTTATGACCCGCCCCGCGAGTGATAAGAATATTTAAGTGTTCTAATTGTTTCAATTAGGTCCCGCTCCGTCCCTGCCACGCCGGTGGCTCTGATTTGTGACGTCATCGTCGCGGAGTCGTTACTAACATCTGAGCTTTCCTAATTATCAACTGTCATTTCTCAGTTCTCCCCGATCCCTCCTCCCCACCCCGAAACTTATCTAACGCTCTCTTCAAGTCGGTGTAGTTTAAAAGTCCGACTCTTATATTCCAATGATTCCGTTCGTTCCTCGGGTAATAAGTCGTTTTACCTAAGCATATGAGTATATCGACGGCGAAACTTCAAAATCACGTATCTCAACTTAACAATCCCCGCTCCCTTTTCATTTTTTTGATGAAGAAATAACCAACGTTTGTTCCTTTAAGTTTTCACAGAAATTTCTTCGCCTAAGAAAGAAGAACCCTGGAAGTTTTTTGGAATTGACGTTGAGTAGTTTGTCATTCAAAAAATAAAGTAAGGGAGGAAGTCTGCAACGTCGCGAACCGAGATACGAGGTTTGGGAGTTTTATCGTCGATATTGTTCTGTGAAACCTTATTCAGCGGACGGAATAAATATGTCACGGTGATCAGGATGGATAAATGTCTCGGAACAAACTGCTTCATAATATTTCTACAAATAGTTGTGTAAAACGCACGCCTCTCAATCTTCCTTCGAAACATTTATTAGATTACCGTGGATTTTAATTTAAATGGCTGACGACTAAAAAAAATAATAATATGGTGGAAATATAAATTTAGGACCTCTTCGCCTCTTCGATGAAAAGGCGAAGAAGATTTCCAATGCTGCTGAGATTGTAAAACGCAATTCCTGAACTACTAATAACTTTTCCAAAATTTCTGCCAATGATTCTTCCGTGAGTCACCTCTGAATTTGTCTTCCCTAATGTACGTCAACTCAACAGTAAGTCGGCTGTAAATGAATTTCATCTCTTGCAAATGCTCTGAAAAATTGCCCCATCTTAGGAGCATTGCAGGCCTCATAGGTCCTTTTGCCAAAGGAGTTCTTCATTATAACCAAACTTTTCTACATAAAAGAGAGAGTAAAATTAACTATCTTTCTAGAAGTATGAAAAAACGACGAGCTGATTATTAAAATTTATGTAAGCACAGCGGAACAATGAAAAATCTATACATCCTATAAACTTGCCAACATAAAAGGAAATATTTTTAATGATGAGGACCCGCGAACTGACGGTAAGGCTATCCGGAAAGGAAAATTCACTATGATGCGAATTCTGTCATTAGAATTGGTTCTTCCCTTGGAGACTTTGTTTCTTCTGGGAGTATAGTGAAAACCGAGAATCTAATGGTCGGTTGGTTGATCAATATGAAACCGGTTAAAATTCGCCTTCAAATACAGAGGATACCAACCCGTTGTCGTGACCGCAGGCGTGGGCGTGGCACGGCGCACGGATACTACTTTGAGAGCGGGAGGCAAGGACGAAGCAAGTTCCCCGAGGCGTGTCGTTTCGCTAGAACGCCGTAAGAACATTCAAATGTTGCCAAACTTAGCTGACGCCTCGGCGACCAAACTTAGCTAGTCCTGATGAAAATTTATCTCAGAGCATGTCTCTCCATAAAATTTCCAGATATTTTAGATCAAATTGCGAACAAAATTGTCTCAAAAATAGGATGAAAAGCATTTACAAAAGAACAAGTTTCCAAATAGATTTGCATTTAATCGAAGGACATTTCGCAACGTCTGAAGGTTCAAACAGCATTTTTGCCGGGCACGCCAGAATGGTTCATGAACAAAGGTGAACTTCAGATCTTGACGAATAAGTTGCGATCTATTGAGTTCATTTTGGAGAAAGTTAAAGAATTAAATGTGCATCGAAACTAAACAATTTTGACAAGTGTAGGGGATCAAACCTTTTTGACTTTTTTTATTATTTTTGCACCGATGTATTCATAAAATCCTCTTCTACACTCCACGCAACACCTCACTTTTAAAGTTTTTAATCTAAGACTCTTTTCTCCGTGGGCCGCCATGAAAAAAATAAAGTCTGCCCGTCCTAGAAACGAGGACTTTCCTTTCTTTATAGATAAAAAACGAAATAATTAGCTTACTTGATTCCCGATCATAACGATTTTCGGTCAAATTGCCACAAAGGTCAAAATGTAAAGGATGCCTTGGGCCCATCACCAATTCGTGTCCTCTATCTAAATCTTGCTCTATCTTGAAGTATATCTGCAAAAATACAAATAATATATATTTCACCAAGAGTGTTCAGTTAAACATGTGCGTGTTTATGGTAAGTTTCATTTACTTTTTTTCGGTCCGATCAACGCAAAGGACTTGGTTAATTGATAACATTTTTTATTCAATCGACCAAAACTGTAAGTACTCTGAGACGTCTAAGAATGAAGAAATTTTCCTGCTGAACTAATGCACTCCTGTATTTTTCTTTATCAATCAGAGGTCACTACTTACGAGTATGGCTAGCAGATTGAACTTTCACCATTACGAACCAGATTTGATGCTGCTGGCGGTTTGCGCCTAATCTTGTAAGAGGCTGCAAATTTTCAACCCAATCCGCAAGGATTTGGTCAACGTAACGCACAGCTTTGGCGCATATAACGCAAAGAAAAACTAACAAAATAATATCCGCACGTTTAGGTTAATTTGTGTTCAAAGCGTGGATTTGCCATGAAATCTGTGCTGTCTGGTAAATGAAACCACGAAGAAATTATCTCAATTTTGTCCAGAAGAAATAATCTCGATTCAGTTCATCTTATTATACTAGCTAAAACTGAATTACATTCTTCCACCGCGTAGCAATATAATAAGTAAACGTCTGATAGCCGTATCAAATAGTTACCTTGCCCTGAAAGAAGTGTACCCGGACATTCTGCTCTTTCTCGTCATCTGAGCTTCTGACGTACTTCATCCAGGTGAGTGAGCCTATGGTAGCGTCCAAGAATCCTTTCCTGCCGGCTGCTCGCACCTACAAATAAAAATATTAAATTTATGTAATCAGTTATCAATTATTTATTAATTTTGTGGTTCGTACAAATTGTTTTAACGTAAGCTAACTTACAGTATCTTATTTTAAGACCCTTCAGTCATGTAGAAAGTTCGTGGTTAAGGAAATGCGCAATGCAGACGGTTTGGTTTATTCCGAATAATTCAATTAATTACTAATTGAGTGAATACATTAAACCATTCATTTCATGTGTCTCTTTTTCCGGCAAGCTTTGTGAAAGCTAAGTTTTGCGGTAATCTTTTATGTCTCTCTTCCTTTTCATGCTTTTGTTCTAGCTGAACTCGAAATGGATCCGAGGAAGGAATAAAGAGAGGAAAGCATTAATTCGAGTCGACGAAAATGTCACGGTGTGGTGGCGCGAGCTCGGCATCCCTTCCGCGTCCCTTTGTTGAGAGAAAGTGAAACAGTCAGGGCTGAGGAACAGTAAGTTAAGTTAGGTTAGGCAAATCAGAGTAAATGCGTCGGAGTGGGAGACGGGGGGAGAAGTAAGGAGAAAAAATGAGAGCCTCTGATGGGAGTAATTGATGATAGGGTGTTCGGGTAATTACAGGGGGATAAGATAGATGTGTGGTCTTTGTGACACAAGTAACGAACCTCCTTCAGAGGACGTCATGGAGGACCCCGGAGGTGGAGGGGAGCGGAGGGGGATTTGAAGGGATCCAAGGACCTCCTTCTCATCAACCTACCATTTCGTTCCATTACGCTGTGATTTCTCCGTAGTAATGTATACCTCTGCTTATTCGCTGTATCGAAACAAAACACTCCTCCCGCTTAAGTTCGGGCCGCTTCGAGCGGCTGTCACGTGTTACAATTCCAAATCGAGGAAAACCCCTCCTGACGTCTAATAACCTCGAGAGGGATTTTTTGGGAGATGCTGATGAGAAGGGAAATTAAATTACATCTGAAGGATGACTCATTAAGCTTGGGACAGAGGTCGATTCACTTTCCGTAATTGCCTTGACCAAAAAAAGGGCTGATCCTAGGAAAAGGGCCATGAAGACAGCCCCCCTCCCCCCACAGGAAAAAAGGGAAATACAAAATAAGAGGAGGAGGGAAAAAGAATGGAGGAAATTCACGGAGAAAAATCTATGGCTTCTAAACCAATTAGTGGTTCAAATGGAACACCAGTAATAGAAGTGAAGGCAACATATAATAATTGTACATATACCTTAGTTATGGTATATATACCATACTATGATATGTGCTACCACAGTATGGTTCACAGACCGATAATCATTAGTTCATATACAACTATTAATGGTGTTCCATATGAACCACTAATTGATTTATAAGCCCTACCTTTTTCTCAGTGTAGCATGTAAACATGTACTACAAAAGTTTATGAAGACCAGACTGGTACATATCTGTGGTTATTTCCTCTTTTTCGAGAGGAGTTTCCCGGAGAAAAGTTATGGATACATTTCGATGGAAGTATGAAATCTCTAATCACAAATTTTACTTCCAAAATGCCGCTAATTTTACTCCTGATAACAAGCAAAACGCGGCAAATTTTTACAGAAATTGCCCGGCTATTTTCCTAGGAAAAAAATGGTTATGATCAGATTTTGCGGCTTCCTCAATAACTATTTTCAGAAAACTACACTACTTTCAGCGAGATGAATTTTTTAAAAGTCATTTTTTGTACCATCCATAGACGGTAAACAATTATACGATAGTTTATCTTCTCTCAAACCGTGAGGCACTTTCGTTATCCTATTATTGAAATGGTGAGCCATTGAATCACTGCAGCACAAAAGTATTCTTGTGCGCCGGTAACGGGATGAAAGCAAAAAGCTTCAGCTATCAGCTGAGTGCTGAAAATGTAGAGCCTAGGACTGGGAAACGTTCGGATATAACGGCAGTCTGAAAGACGCTGAAACGGAAAATGAAGAAGGAAGGGTAAGCAAGGAAAATGGAGTCGCTGGGCGAGAATCAAAACTAGTAGGGGTTGCCTGGAGTGGGAAGGAGTAAAGACAGGAGAGACATGAAGAGAAAGCTGGACAAAACGGGAGAGGCAAATGGCAGAGGAGACTGAAACCAACGCCCCCCTCCCTCCCACTCTTTCTGAAAGTTGGGGGTGAGGGAGACTGAAGAGTAACGAGAATATCTCCACCCATTGAGCTTGGAGTAGAGATTCTTCAGTCACTTTTATCCTGAATTCTCCTGCTCGATCCCTCGCTGCCAACTACTAACCGCGCACTTCAGGTATCTTTCAAGTTGTTTCCATAAAGTTGAAAGGGATCCCTCGCCGTAAACGTAGATACATAAATATTTATTCACTTTTTTCACTCCGTCAATTTATTCGTGATAATACGGTTTAGACGGGAATTCGCTGGGGATATTTTCAAAAGGTGGTTGTTAGCTGAGAGTGGTTTGAATCCCAGAATATCTCAACCGAGAAAAGAGCATGTCGTTCTCAGCCTGAGTGCGTCATTTAATTCATTATTAATTAATGTCTTTCTTACCTTTGATGTCGATTCAAAACATAGCGCGGTAAGGAATATGAGAGTATTATTATTTCCTCAGTCCGTGCAGTTGCAAATAATTTATTTTATTTTATAAATAAATGTTCTCACTTTTTCTCTCTCTCTCCTTTTCTCTTCTTCTTTCTAACCCACTCCGACAGTTTTTTTTTCTTATTTGTATCTTATTTACTTCTAAAGTTCAAATTTTTGGAAAGGATATGTGGGATTTTAAAAATCTTGTGATCAGATCAGAGTTTGAAAACATATAATTATTCGCGAGGGCCGTATATCGTGAGCGCGCATAGGCCGTGAGCAGATCTTATAGATTTCGCCCGCAAAATCTAGCGTATGCAGCCCGGCCCACCGCGGAGTTAAAATAGTTGCGCGTTGGGTTCGAACCCAACTTTAGACTGTCCTCTCTTTGACTCTTGGCGCTTTTTCGAGAGGAAAGAGCGTTTCGTTTTCTAGGATATTCAAAAAAAGGCTCTGCTTTCATCAAAATGCTAACTATAAAGTATGCATCGATTGAAAAGGAAAAAAACGTGAACCGATCGGCAGAGACTCAATCGACACAGGTTTGATCGTAAATTTATTGATATCCTCAAAGTGGATGCGATCGAAAAAGAAAAACGTGAACCAATCGACAGCGACTCTATCGACACCGATTTGGTCGAAAAACTTCAGTCTATTCACAATGTTATCGATCGACTCACGGGCTTTTCGATCGATACTCGGGTTTGTCAATATATCCACGGATTTTTCGATCGATTCATGGATTTGTGGATCGATACATGGGCTTATCAATCTTTTTACGGATTTGTCGATGAATTCATGGGCTTATCAATCTACTCACGAATATTTCGATCGATTCATGGGTTTGTCGATCGATTCACGAGTTCGTTAATCAATTCACGGTTGTATATCAAATCATGGGTTTGCCAGTCGACTCACGGGTATGCAAATCGCAATCGACTCGTGGAGTAATCGATTGACTAACGGATTGTCGATTGATTCACGAAATTGCCGATCAACTCACGGATTTGTCGATGTATTCACGATTGTGGTTCGAATCATTTGAATCGGTTCACGGTTTCGTTCGTCGATGGATTCATGTCGATCGAGTCCATACCGCTCCATAATATACGTGGGAGAAATTGAGGGGCTGGAATGGAGGCCTGCGGGGCTGAGCATCGGCACGCGCTGGAGCCGGGCCGGGCCGTAGCAGGGTCCCTCGACGCAGCGAGCGAGACCCATTTCGAGTTGGGCGCTGCGCCCTGCGCCATCCCTGCCGACAGGGACGTTAATTTATCATCTCTCATTGCTAGACAGATTGCCGCCGTCACATTGTTGAACGTACTCCGGCCCCGATCCGCCGATCCGCGGAGTGAATTAGCCGACGCATCGTAAGAGCAGCGCGTGAGCACGCGTCCCTGTTATTCTTACGAAAACAACTCCTGATTGCTTGCTCATTTCCGAACGGAAGCCTAGCCTCCAGGCTCCGTGTTTGTACCTAAGAGAGGGTGTAATTACATTTAGACTCGATTCACGTTAGCCCGACCGGTCTTCGTTTTTTGGATAGAAATACGAGGAGGGAGAGGAAGGAAAGAAGGAAGAAGAAACCCAGGAAGGAAAACCGAGAAATAAAAGTAGGAAAAATAGGTAAAAGAGGGAGAAAGATAGGAGGAAGAAGAGAAGAAAGCGGAAGAAGATGAGAGAGAATAAGAAAAGGAGAGAGAAGAAGAAATAGAGAAGGAAGAAGAGGAAAGAGAGGAAGAGCGAGAAAGAGAAGAACAGATCAGAGAATAACTTTTTTGTCTTTTCCTTCCTTTCTTCGGTTTTTCCTTCTTCTATACTTGTAAATATTTTCTTCTACTTCTACTTCTTTTTCTTCTTATAAATCGCTTTCTTTTACTTATTTTTCTACTACTTCTTCTTCTTCTTCTTATTCTTCTTCT